CCCTGAGAGCAGTATATAAAGAAGCATTCGCAGAGGCATTGGCTTGCTACCCTAACCTTTTTTTAAGAGTTTTTTTTTTAAAGAGAAATTTTACTCACAAAAAATGTAATAAGACTCATATAAACTCGTAATCAGGATCACTGTGAAAAAACGTAGGGACAACGAATATTCAGTCCACGAGAAGTCTTCGTTGAGTCTACACATTATACATATATTTCAAGAAAAAAGTTGATCAACATTTTAACTAGGTCTAACGATTATTAAAGTTGTAGAATCAGAATCTGATATGTGTAATTAATACAAGTGGCAACAGACTATTTGCGCAAAATGTTACACTTAAGTGAAGACCACGGATTTCGAACATTAAGCCGTATGTATTAAAATTTCTATGGTAAAAAGTCAATGCACATAAGCTGCTTCCGCAGAAACTTAATTATTAAAGATGTAGAAAAATTGTAATAAGAATTTTACAATTGATCACATTTCATTAAGAATTTATGTGAACCATTTCTTTATTTGGTAGAAGTTTAAAACTGATCAAATATTTAAACTTTTGTAATTTAAACGCTATTATTGGTTAACATTTAGTAAAACAACATGCTATAAATAAATATATTTTCACATTTATAGTACACAAATATGTGCATATATATGTATATAAATGTTACAAAAATATAGAACTTAAAATTCTGTATTTATGTTATAAAAATACGGAATAAATATGTGTTGTAAAAATACAGAATTAAAAATTATTTTTAATTTTAAAATTTAAAAAAAAATTTTGATATCAAGAAAAATTTGAAATTTAATTAAAAATTGTTCATAAATTTTTAACAAATGTACAAGTGTAAACGTAGTGCAATCAAAAATAATTCCAAATTATGCAATCAGTTAAAAGTTTCTAACTCTTATTAAAAAGCAAAGTAACATAAAAAGCGCGGTAACATCACACTGACCTGCTTTTATTTGCATTTCATAAACATTATAAACGAACAACTGCATACCTATGTTTATTCAAGTTTATAATGTGTATATATATATATATATATATATGTATATATGTGTGTGTGTATCTGTATATCACATATATGTATATGAACAAATATGTTCCTATGTCTACATATTTTTCACAATTTTTTATCTTTATCCATAAAATGCGGGTGATATGAGTCGCATATAATTTTCTGTGAGTATTATTTGTATTGTTTAATAAAAGAAAATAAAGGTGTTTTGGCGATTCATTTAGCTCTATACGTGTACACTTACAAGCTGATAACAAATTGTTGTTATTTATCACAACCACCTACGCATTATGTGGTTACCAAGCAAATATTAATTTAAATTTGAAACTAACAATTAGAAATTCCGTTCTCAGTCCTACAACAATATCTCAATGGGGTTTACTTCAGAACTTGTACGTCATATTTTAAAAGTTTTAAAGGTAATATTGGTAATATTGTACTATAAAATGTTAAACAGTAACTTTTTATAGTACTTATTGTGTTAACAAATAAGCAAGCATCTAACTTCATTTTAGCTTTGATTAAACTCAGTCTTTTTTACTTCGAATTTTAATTATTTTTCTTTAAAACAAATATAAGTATCATCTTCATTTAAATTGTAAAAAAATGTTCTCTAACGGAACATATCATTTTCAGATTTTCTAACATATAAAACATTGAGAATCATTAGTGTATAAATTTTAATAATGCATACCAATATGATAATGAACGAAAAAAAAATTTCTCTAAAGAACTTCTCCCTACGTTACAAGCAAATTATAAGGTTAGGAAATATTTCAGTATATTCATTATTTAATTTTGAGTCCATAAATAAAAAGATAAGATAACCGTAATAACACACATTATATTCTGCTTTAAATATATTAAAAGTTATATATCTTGAAACACCCTCATACCACATACCATATAATTAACCTTACTAGATTCAAATAGTCTTCATTTTTTCACCAAATCAGGCAGTGTAATTTCATGACGACAAAATAAAGCTAACCAAAAACAGAAAAATAGGCTAGTCTGAAGTGGGCGGACACTTCAAACCGTATCGGTAATTCGCGAAAAGCATAAATAATGTACAAATACATGTATATGGCAGATATATTAAAATATAATTCAATTGTTAATATATTTCTAGGGATATGATTTTGCAAAACACGGGTACCTATGTCCATTGATTGATCCGTATACATGTATATCATTTTCAAGTGTATTTATAACATTAGTATTAAAGACATAATTGGAATGCGTTTTATTGGTTTTGTAATTTAATTTTGTATCTTAGAGAATATTTGTAACACAAGTTCACATTTATTTATGGCAAAAACATAAAACAGTGTTACAAATTATAAGTGGGAAACGAAAGAATTCGAAAAAGTTTTTATTCATTTTTTAGAATTGACGCATGATTTAGAAAAAAACTCTTAGCAACAATACATTCAGAGAGAAGAAATTTTACGATCTGGATTCTGCGGCACAGAACGGATATGGATCATTTATAACCTGTATTGAAAACATCTTCCGTATTGCTGCGAAAAAAAATTTTTCTCCCTCCACGGGAAAAACATGGATTATTTTTCTTCTTAAGCCATCTTGCAAAAGTTGTTCCAAGATTTGGAGCGTTAGAACTCTAATTAGACTTATCAAATCAATAATTATCAAAAAATCTTATATTCATATTTACCTAATATGTCTAAATTTTGCATTGTACTTATAAGCAATATGCCATTGTTTGAATTAATTAAACATTTTCATTTGTTTTTTTTTTCAATAAATGCAATTTATCAAAAATACGATATTATTGTAAATATCTACATAATAAACATGAAAGATAGTAGCCACCAACGATATTGTAGTGCAACTTATATCTTGGTAAAACGTTTTCTCTTCAAAATTGACATTATTATTGATATGCACATTATGTTACTAGCGAAATTAAAAATGTAATAAAGTCGATGCTTTTACTAAAGTGCTCATCAAAAAACTGTTTACCCTTTTTCTCAGTCTGGTGTTAGAAAAGTTGTTTATGGTATATTGAATTAAGCAAATTCGAATCATTATGTTGGCTGCAACACCATCAGTCAATTACAGAATTAAAAGAACTTAAAAGTGCATCTCTCAATTTAATTCAAGCGGTGAACATGTTAAGGTAAACATCTTTATCTGTTATCTTAACAGATAAAAAAAAAATAAATACTGAAAGTAGGTTAATCAATTTCTCAAATTTGCTTAAAGTCATTTGCACTTCATTCGCAATTCTTTATGAACATGTTCAGAGAATTTTAAACGGAAATCTTTGATATTTCATCCATCATTGATCCATCATTTCGATATATTCAAAACAATAACCTACAAAACTAAGAGATAACATTTTTCTCTAACTGTAGATTCGACCCGCCAGTCTTGTCCTGTCCAAACCTAATAAAAAATCAAAGCTAGCCAAGTAGTATAAAATTAAGCCAACCAATAACATTAAGCAAAAAGGCAGCAAAAAGTTTAATATGTTGTATTAAATTATATTATAACTTTCGGCAAAATTTACCACATATTTAATTCATTCACATAATTCATTTTATAACTTATTTTTAATTATTTATAATTAATTTAATTATTTTATAAACTTTGTTTTATAAATTTTGTAAATTAATGATTTGCTTAGACAAAACTGTGTAAGAGTTACGAATTGATTGGGTAGCAAAAAAGAATTTTGTTTTTTAATAAAAGTATATTTTGAAACAAAAAAAAATTTTTATACGGCAGTTGCATATAACAGCAAATGAGACCGCATTCGTTCCCCCTTATAATATGCCCGTAAGTTAAATGACTTCAATATTAGACCATCAAAATTATCATATGTCTTTCCATTGCAAAACTTCTGTTTCCTATAGTCAGTATATTTAACTATGTTGGCGTATGTATCAATAATTTAACATCTTGTCAAAACTTAATTGACAAGTAGATTGTTATGCCCATTTAATATTATTATCCTTCTTTTATTTATGTATTTTTTTCTAGCTAGCTTTTGTCTGATTTTTTTTAGGATATCATTTCATTGTCCATCCCCTGTTGAAGTGTTATATGAGTTAACAAATTGTCTACAGTTTGCTTAACAAAATCCATAATTTAGTTAAAGTTATCGGAAGTCTTGAAGCGTTAAATGTTGGCAATCAGACAAATCAAGGGTCCACGACTTGTGGTTTCTGAAAGTCAATAAAAGAAAAATATATTTGATTTGCTCTTTATCATATGGTGTTACAATGCCGCAACAAAATCACCCCCATCTGCCTAAAATGGAATAAATATTTATAAAAAAAATAATATTTCAACTCGATAGTTATGTCCCTGCTATCGAATGAAACTAATTAAGAACAAAAAAAGAAATCACAATGATAATCAATACGAAGCTCAGTATTTTTGTATGAGAAGAGAAGTATTCGTACCATACCTACTCAAGAACAAATAAATAAACAAGCTTTACTTGCTAATATTTATTCTTAATCCCTATTATTGTTTTATATATGTAAGAGGAAAAAAGTTTTTCGCAAATGGATGGTAAAAAAAGTGCAAGTACACTAGCATTTCTTAAAATATGAAAATCAATTCAAACCACAAGGATTTAGTCAAACATATTTATTAGAGATAGTTTTGTGAATCCATTCATTAAATTAAAAAAATGATGCCTTGATCCAAAAAACGAAAAAAGACGTAAGAAAAGAGGGCCCATTTTTTTGACGAAAGTCAAAATTTAAACAATAATATGTTCAATGAAAAAACTCTCTATATTAAATTTGTGTCGGTATAGTGAAAAATACATTGTTTCAAATAAATTGTTTTTTGACCCTGCGTATCTCAGATAATATTAAAAATTAAGTAGAATCTAAATTTCTTTTCGTTCTTTTAACCAGAAACCACCCTGTATATGAGATATTAATAACGCAGGTACTGTTATATTATTTAAATTTTAATATTGTTTTTGTTTTTAAGATTCTGATTTAACTGATGTTGATGTTACTGTGCAGGACATACTCACTTGTGGAAGTTGTCAAAAACCTTTTGCATTATCAGATATTGTCAAATTTATTCAACATAAAATATTGAATTGTAATAAGGAAAATTTTGGACATTGTTCTGAGCAAGGTTTGTTTCGTGTATTTTAATTATGGATTAGCAACTAACATCTGCATTTTAAAATAGGTCCTAAACATGATAATGATAGTGAAGACGTTAGGCAAATTAGCTTAATAAGCCGTCGTCCGTCTATAACCGCACCAATATCAAATCAAAAAACCTCAAGCTCACGAGATCATACACCTCCCCCAAGTCCAGCGGAGTTACTTGCTGATGGAGCATCAAGCACCCCGAAAAGACTGGTTGATGGTACGTAAAACATTCAGTTCTAACACAAAATTACCTATATAGATTTTTAAACATTTTAATTTTTCTTGTAGAAAATGACAATAAAACACCGAATAATGAAAACTTAAGCCAAGTCCACAGACTAACTTCAGGCATATCAAAATTAGATGCATTTTTGGAAGAAAATTTTGACAAAACTAAAGCTAATGTTATTAAAAATAAAATTGAATACTCAGCTGACATTAATATATCCATTTGTAACAAATCGAACAATGAACAACCGAAATCAAAACGCCGAAAAGTAGAAGTGGTTGATGCCGAATCAAACACCTTGCAAACAGGTAAGTAATTAATAAATCACTTTACATATTTCAATTGTGTAATTATGAAAATATCAAAGAGATTCCAACATTTTTTAAAAATGTGTTTTTGACTGACCAAGTCAATGTCGACGTAGTAGTATTTTGATTACAACTGTTTCGAGTATGTTGTGATGCATTATTAATATTAAAATGAAAAAATGTTTTTGATGTTGAAATATTTATGCATATACATTCAATTTACCCTTCCGATATACCTGGTTATTTTGTCATTTAAAAACGTTTATCAGCCCTTTGGCTACGTCGTGCAGATGTGCATCAGATTTTCATCAAACTTGTATTCCGTCTAATTTTTTTTACAATACTCTTAAGCTTTGATGCAGACATCAACTAAATAATATTTTTGGAAAGCTCAACATCAAAAGTTTTTAATAATTGGGGTCGAAACTCAGATTATCATGAAAAACCTGCATGCAATCAAAAGGCAAATAATTTAAAAAATATATCAGTAGTTTTTTTAAATTACGAAAAAGTAAAATAATGAATTTAAAAGCACTTCAATGTTGAAACAGTGAATTTGTCAACTGAAACTAATGTAAAATGTTACTGCTGGAATATTCATTCGTTACAATATAAAAATACGTCTCCAAATGAAAACAAATTAAATTATTCTAACTTTCAACAGTAGAAACTTAAACTATATTTACGTTACTTGACGGAAGTGGGACCACAAAACCCAACAAGAATATAAACAAAGAACCTTACAATAGTAACATGATATCTTTATTTGATTTTTATTTACTAATGCATATATTATATTATATTATATTATATTATATTATATTATATTATATTATATTATATTATA